GACGACTATGATGATAAAAAGGAAGTTGCTGATTGTGATGAGGATAGTGATGATAATAATGATACAATGAAGATTAAGATGATATGATACGGGAAACAAGTTATATAATCAATGAAATATTAACAAAATTCAAGAATGATCCAATTACCAATTTGGCAGAAATCTCCAGAATAGCCAGTGACACAGGTACATGAAAAGGTCGTTGGAGTCAGGGTGAGGCACGTACCACCATTCAAGCACGGCATGTTACTGCAGGGATTCTCCACTGAAATTCAAAAACAAATCGACACAGTTCACATTCCAAATTTGGATGGATGGATGGATTTATTCGGTGTAAACACAACAAGGATAACCAACGAAAGTCTGGAGAATACTTATTTCCAGTGGTGTCCTCCTGGTGCTGATTGGGCAGTATACCGAGAGACAACCCCTACTCTTTTCCGAATAGCGTACTGCGTTCATTAACGTGCATACAAGCAATAATGCACGCACCCCTGACGGCTTAAACATCTCATCCGAAATACGGGGCGCTTTCATAGCCTGCATTTCAGCCCTCTAGCTGAAACACAAGGAGAGCATCGATGGGAATAAAACCGGGGGACCTAGAAATTTCCACGGTTCAGCGCACACACAGTGGCTACCAATAGTTTAGCCGACTGAGCTGAACTTCTCTCTGATATATTTTGAACTAGGCATTTGTGAAATTTTGAATATTTGTTTAGAGCAACAAAACAGTACACAAAAAGCCCTCTCCAGACTCCTAATTTCTATTTGGACAAAAACGTAAACATGCCTAAATATGGTCATGATGACATCACAATACGACCATATAAGGACATTCTAAGGCCTGTTTTCCACTAAGCGGATTTATTCACGCGAACCAAAAGCGTTGGTTCGCTTCCTGAGCTCTGATTAGTTGCACACTTTCTCACTTCGCAATAAAGTAGAAACTAGTTCGAACTACTGATTTCACTGAAGCGAAAAACTCTGATGGAAATGCGAATACTCATGCACATGAACCGACGCTTTTGATTCACAAAAACAAATTTTCCTACTGGAAAACAAGCTTCAGACTTTTCCCCTTATCTCTTCTCTGGGCATGCTGGCCACTTCAAAATCCCGGAATTCACCAATGATATATATTAAAAATAAAGATTGATTCAATTACCATAGCACGTATCCTGTATCTCAACATAGAAACCATTCTCCACTTTGTTGGAATCCGTCACAAACGTCATCCACAGCTGGTTGCCACTGCTTACAAATGACGGTGGAACCGTGTCCCCGGTTAACGTAACAATCTCGTTTGTTGATAATGGTGTGACTGTGTTTCCAACTTTCACAAAATCATGTTCGTCCTCAACATCAAATGTTGAAAAAACGACACGGATCTGAGTGTTTGACGTTGCAGTGAAAGTCCAAAGACAGTTTGCGTTGTTGGCGTAGGGGGCGGGATAATTCAGGGATGTAATGGTGACCTTATCGCAACTTGGTATTTGGTATTCTTGATTACATCCAAGAGCTATTAATAAATTATTTAGAAAATTTACGCATTAAAATGTACACTGAAGCTTTTTTTCACACTTTCAAGACAAATACCCATATATGGGTGTCATATGACATCATCATTGCCATAGGCGGATTCAAGGGGGGGGGGCCCCATTTAAAAAAATTTAAGAAAAAAAGAAAATTCTACTCAAATTTTGAGACTAAGAGTGCCATTTCCTGCCATCTAGAGGTGCCATAATCATAAAATTTCTTACCTCAGCCCCAACCATGGTGGGGCTGAGGTAGTATACATACCTTCCCCTGTAAAATTCCCTCTTTGGGCCCCTCTATTTAAAATTCCTGGATCCGCCACTAATGGCCATATATGGGCAAATCACATTATTTGTCCCATAATGTTGATAAGATACAATGTAGACTTGTTTTTATAACATACATTTTAACAACAAAGTAATACTGCTTTTGAGAGGAATTTTCACAAGATTTGTTTACATAGACAATTTACAGAAAATTGTCATACAGTACTTACTCAGTTCACAATGGGTGCTTGTAAACCCAATAGGACATTGGCATCGATAACTATTAGTCTCATCAAAACAGACACCACTGTTCTGACATGGATTCGGGTTACAGTCATTTCCATCTAATGTATAAAATACAAATCAGTTACCAGTAATTGGAATGACTAACATTAGTGCTGTCGTGCTTAAAAATGTATGGAAGATTCAGTAAGACATTGATTCCATATATTTACTATTTTTTGATATGATTATCATATTTCAATGATCAACGCGATCATTATTTTTCAAAACCAGCATCAACTTTTAGTACATGATCATTATTTTAAAAAATTGATCTTTATCTATGAATATCATTGTCATCTTTTCATATATAATCATTATTTTATGATATTTCATATCATTTTCTATACTGTATTACCACTTTTCAATAAATTATCAAATATGAATATGATTATCATCTTCAAAAATATAATTATCATAAATATGATCTTTAGATTTCAATATGATATCAATATGATCATCGTCTATCAATATGATCATCATCTATCAACATGATCATCATCTACCAATATGATCATCACCTATCAACATGATCATCACTTATCAACAGGATCATCACCTCAATATGATTATCATCTATCAATATGATCATCTTCTATCAACATGATCATCCTCTATCAATATGATCATCATCTATCAACATGATCATCATCTACCAATATGATCATCACCTATCAACATGATCATCACCTATCAACAGGATCATCACCTCAATATGATTATCATCTATCAATATGATCATGATATGACCATGATATGATCTTCTATCAATATGATCATCCTCTATCAATAGGATCATCATCTATCAACAGGATCTTCATCTACCAATATGATCATCATCTATCAATATTATCATCATTTATCAATAATGATTATCACCTATCAATATGATCATCATCTATCAATATGATCATCATCTATCAACATGATCATCATCTACCAATATGATCATCACCTATCAACATGATCATCACCTATCAACATGATCATCACCTCAATATGATTATCATCTATCAATATGATCATGATCTATCAATATGATCATCTTCTATCAACATGATCATCCTCTATCAATATGATTATCTTCTATCAACAATGATCATCATCTATCAACAATGATCATCTTCCATCAATATTATCATCATCTATCAATATGAACACATCTAGATTTTCAATGTGTATTTCTGAAAAACCAAAGACACAATGTGATGATACTTTACATACCTGATTCACAGAGGGTTCCAGAAAATCCAGTAACACAACTACAGGTGAACATGTTCGCACCATTGACACACGCGCCGCCATTATGACACGGATTGCTTGCGCATTCATTAATGTCTACGGAGTATAAAACGAACTGTTTAATATTTTCAAAAACTATATCATAAATAATATTATAATATTGAGAAGATCTGTGTATCTAGGTAGTAATAAATTATATATATTTGGAGTTACAAACTTGAGCCCAATAACCCATGACCTTTCAATCATTACACCTAAGTATCTCAGGCATTCTAACAAAAGATAATGTAACGTACTGTATTTGGGTTTATATAGCGCTTTATATTGAAGTGTCAAAGTGCTTGAGGTGTGTACTAGTTCATACAGTATCTTGCTTCTTCCCTAAGGGTGTCTTCATGTCTAAGCTACCTGTTAACCGGTACCAGATATTCTTGTCTGTCCACAACAGGGGCTGTATGAACCAGTACACAGGACTAACCACCTACTCATCTCAAAAGATGTACTGGGTTCT